ATCACAACAAAAATAGAAAGGGTTTGGCACGTGATTTTTTAAAAAGGGGGTGAGTATTCACGAAAAAAACGTTGTGATAGCATGCGAGAGGGTGCGATCACTTTTTGTGACGTGATTATGTTAAGACTATTGGACAAAAGTATCCAAGACTGGGAGAACAACGCGTTTGGGGTGCTGCTGATGGGCTGAAGAGCATCATTGAACAGTCAGAGGACTGGTATAAGCAGAAAGCCTTCTACAATGCTTGGAAGGAGAACACCTTTGTTAACAGTGCATTTGCCTTTGCCCCAGATGGAAGGATCAGGATTGCAGTGTACAGCTGCCCGGGGGCTTGGCATGACAGTGCCATTGCAGACTTTGGAGTATACCAACGCATTCAGGCAATCCACGACACGTCTGGAGCAAAGGTTGTTGTAGACTCAGCCTTTGCATTGAAGCAGTACCAGGATTGCCTTATCAAGAGCTCACAGAGGGATCCTACCAACAGGGAGCTCCTCTTGTTGAACAGGGATGCCACGTCCTTGAGACAAATGTTGGAGTGGGGAATGAGGATGATCCAGGGACAGTTCCCAAGGATTAAAGAACCAATGTTCTTGGAAGAGCTTGGAGAAAGGAGGATCATCATGAACCTMTTGATCAACTTGTACAATTACCAGTGTAGTTTCATAGGACACAACCAAATCCTATCGACCTTCATGAAGACTCCAGCAGCAACGACTACTGACAATTGATATCAGAAGATTGCTCTTGCTGAGGGCTACTTCCATGTAGGTCGCAACATATCTCCTGATAACAGTGGGACGTTTTCCCGATCGTCCGGATGAATCCCATGGTCGATTAGGTGCTATGTTGAGAGGAAGAAGCAATGAAAAGAACACTGAGTGATGTTGAGTTGCAATCGATAAAAGAACAGCACTGTTGAGTTGTAATCGTTACGAATCCTACTCTTGTCGATACTTGCCACGGTTCCCCTTATCGCAACGCGTTCCCATCGTTGAATCTACAGTTTCGTTAGTCTCCTTAAGGTCAGTTTAATCTTGTTACGATAAAGCATTCAATTGTGTTAGTACTACAGTAATGCAAATAGTTACAGCTGCAGCAACTGTTGCTTCAGTTGCTGTTTTCCTGCAATTACAACTGTTCTACGTTGTACGGAAAGGCAGTAGAAACTAGGTTTTCATGTAACAAAAACGGGATTAGAAGCCTTCATTACACGTGTGCAATCCCACCAAAGTACCCAACGGCTGTCATTGATCGGCATTCACATGCATTGCACCATCTTAGACGAGTAATCAATAATTTTCATTACAGGATAGTAAATATAAAATGTAATCCCATATCGTTTTGCAACAGTATACATAAAAACCACAAATTGGTAGGAACTGGTGGGGCAAGTACTGCTATCTACAGCATCTTGAGGGACAAAGAACTAGCGTACGCTACTGTTGAACCAGCTCATTTAATGTAATCCCTACTAGTAATAATGTAATATAGTTTAATCCATGGTTAAAGTATTCCTGTTTCCTCATCCTGACCATGGGATTCACCGGATTCCTGGCGTTGTCGTTTGCGTGGGGGACCGTTGGGTTCTGGCATGGAGTATGTATCAGCTGTCGTTGAACCCGTCGACACAGGAGCTGTTGGTGGCCGACCATGTTGGTAAGAATGGTGAGGAGGACCATGGTAGTAAAAGTAACTTTGTTGCTGCTGTTGCCATGTATTCATCATGGTAACAGCTGCTCCAAGGAATTTCTCTGCTACATCCTTTACACCACTCCACATCTCAATGCTGCGTTGGTCTCTTCTTTCCTCTCTTTTGTCGTGACTCACAATGAATTGAGTGAAGGCTTCAGCATCAGGGACACTTGATTTCTTCTGCTGGTAGGCCCGCTTCTGGGGGGCAACAGGGGTTGTTCTTAGAACAAGTGAAGGGTTCAAGACAGAAGATGCAGCTACACCGGAAGGAGTCTCCTCTCTGGCGACAGTGGGAGCCTTGGGCTTCTCAGCATTGGGCTTCTCCGTAGAGTCTGGTGCGTTGGACTTCTCCTCCGTAGCGTCCCCTTCATCACCTTCCTCTCCAACAACAACAATTGGTGGTTGTGATTCTTCCACTTCAGCAAGAATATCAGCAGTGTTGGTCTCTAAACCCTCCACAGCCTCACTTTTAACATAGCCTTCGACCAGATCAAAGTCCTCCTCTCCAGTACCAAGATTTGCCCGTCGACCAATCAAGATGTGGGCCTCACGGGCCATCCTCACGTAAGCCGGCATGTTTGGGTTTCCAGTGGAACTCTTGATCCTCTTTATGGCTATGGATGTCCTAGTCCTGTAGAAGGGCCACAATTTTGCGTGGTCAGCAACTATGCCATCCCACTCATCATTACTAATAGGAACCCTGTCAAGTATCATGCCAATGAGACTGTTAAGCTCATCATGAGTGTAGTTTGCTACTCCGGCTTTACGACCACCACTGTTGCCTGCCATCTTTGGTACAAAGATAGTGTGGGGGATGGGACAATGGGGCTTGACGTTGAGACGATGAGCTCCCTCCTCCTCTTCTTTCTTTTTACTACTATTAGTGCACCAGTTGATGCTGCCAGTCTCTTCTTGCTCTCTTTGCTGCAACAAAGAAAGGAAATACAACATACTTATTAAGAGCACAGACCGGGACATTATTCTTTATGTCCTTTCTGAACTACTGGGTAGTTAACAGAGGCGCCATGGCACCAAGAATGTTGATGTTGTTGCTCGTGTCTTCTTCTTGTTGTTGTTGTTTAGAAGAAAAAAACTTAATTTTGTCGAGTTCTGTGTTAAGATTCTGGCGGGCTTTCTGTTGAGTCTTTCAGAATCTTTCAATGGACTCGAAATTTTGAATCGTGAGTTCCATCATAAATTTTATTACTTTTGATGAGGGTCAACGGAGCTCATCAAACATAATAAATTTTTGTTATAAATGTGCTAAATTTCGGTCTGTCAGTCTATCAAAAGTAGCACATCTATTATGGGAATCACCCATTGTGGAATACGGACTTCGTGCACGCGTGAATCATATTTTTTTGTACAAGTAATCACGTATGGTACCTCATCGCACCGTACTGTATGCACAGTTCTCAACAAAAATCCCTTTGATAAAGTATCATCGTCGCGCATGAGAACCTTCAGCTAGTGGAACGGGACCGTTTTTGGCGCAGCATTATCACCCACGACTTAAGCTCTGAACTGCTGTACCAATAGCTTCCGGGTCTATTGATAAAAAACTCGGTCTTGCTACAGGTCACTTCTTGGTTTTCTTCTTTTGCAGAACAAAGGGTTCCACCCAACCCTGGGCCCGTGAAAGCATTGCTCTTAGTCCAACCGTCGGGTTTCTATAATTAATATTGCATGCATTAACATGAACATTGTTACTAGCTTGCTGTTTCCCTTCGGATAGGTTTCTGCTTCAGCCCGACACCAGCATAGTAGCTCTCGTAACCGAAGCATGATCGACAAGAGAACCAAACCATAGTTACCAAGTTTTTGCGAATCGCAGTATCGCATCATCAAACCATTGTTTTGAAACAAATTATTGCACGTGGTTTGATAAAGCAATTGATAGAACTATTAGCACTTGACTCTGGCACCATCCGCAATTTCGTCCAGGAATACTCTGCATCCCAGACTCGTTGCATAAACTCGAACGTCCAGGGTTTGTTCTCCTCGATCATAAAATAGGAGCAGAACACAACATAACACAACAGATCCCCTTCTAGATCCCAAACACAACAAAGCAATTGGAATTCCACGGATTGTGGATTGCTTTGACTACAAGAATCCAAACACAAACACATTTCGCCATGCTGGCCCGAGAACGCTTTCAGACCGAAACCCCCAACGTCATTGATCCGGGAGAAGAAAGCCCCCCACTTCCCTCTCGCTGCCGCAATGACTGGGGCCAGGGCAACGGTAGCCGCAACAAGGTCTCAGGGAGCAGCGGTGCCGAAGGAAATGGGAGCATCTATACCCGAAACGGGAACAAGGGAGCCATCTCGAAGGGCATCAAGATTCGCTGCGTTCCCAACGAGGACATCGAGGACAGCGACGATGATGTAATCGTGTTCGAGAGAATCAGCAGTAGCGACAGTAGTTTCAGCAGCAGCGACGATGCGGAAACGAAAGAAGAACCGTTCGAAGACGAAGGCAATCCTTCGCGCGGCAAGAAGCACTCGAAAAAGACCAAGAAGAACAGGCGATCCCGCAAGAACCATCTCGATCGCCGGTTGAGTCTCAACGAGGACGACGAGGACGAAAACGGAATCGCCCAGGCCCGTCTCTTTGCCGCCGCCATGCTCAACGAGTCCGAGAAGCGCCAGCGCAACATGCGCGGCCTCATGATCAGCACCGACTACTACGATCGAAACAGTATGAGCAGCCAACGGGGGAGCAGCCACACCCCCCAAGACCCCCAGTCGAAGCTGCGCCAGATGATGCAGCGTGCGTCTTCCATCAGCAGCATCGGAACAAGCGACGGGAACGCCCTGAATCGCACGGCATCGCTTCGAAGCCTGGGGGCACGCCAGTCTTCTGCTCGACACATTCTCGATGAGAAGCATCTCGACAATATCTGGCTGGTAGACGACACCCATGGCGTCATTCTAAAAGGGGGAGAAGAACCTTCCATGACCTCGTTTGTTCGGAATCGACTTATCTGGAGGATTGTGGCGTTGTTGGTTGGGATAATCCTGTTGATCGCATTCTCCGTAGCGATGGAGTCTTCGAGATCCTCCGGAGGGACCACAGCCATCACGGGTGACTCCTCGGCAGCGTTGGCCATTGCCTCCGACGCACGTCTCGCCGAAATCGTTGCGTTTTTGTCCGATGCAGACATTTCGGCGCCGGGTGACCTCTACATGTCTTCTTCGCCACAATTCAGGGCCGCCCAATGGATGGCAGAGGAGGATTTCGAGAAACTCCCCGTCCCCAAGCCCGATGCGCTGGTCTCGTTTGAAAAGGGATGGACCAGCACCATTCCTTCTTCGCCCTCGTCCGGTCTCCGTGCCGAAGAGGCGACTGCGCCCTTCAATTTTGTCCAGCGCTACGTGCTAGCCGTCTTCTACTTTGCGGTCGGGGGAAACGACTGGGGGGAAACCTATCACTTTGCCTCTACCGATCGACACGAATGTTCTTGGTACAAACCAGTTGACAAGGAAGCTGAATTTGGCCCTGGTGTTGATGACGACGGCAGCAAGAGCAACAGGGACAACATCTTCAACAACTACGATGCCAAGTACGATGCCATGGGGGTTATGTGCGATCGCGACTTGCAGGTTCGAGAGATTTTGTTGCGTAAGTTTCTTTGATTCCTTCGTTTTATACCAATACTGTCAACAAAGACCTATGCTGTACGGTTCACATCCGTGCACGATCTGGGTCTAACCTCTCTTTTTCATTATGTGATTTGCGTTGTAATCATAGCCGCCAACAATCTCCGGGGAAGCATCCCCAGCGAAATCAAACACCTTAGCAGTCTCCAGATGATTCACCTGGGTGGCAATTCCCTCACGGGAACCATCCCAGAAAATATCCGATATTTATCGCACCTTACGGAACTGGACCTGAGCCACAACGATCTGACGGGGCAAATGAGTCCGTACTATTGGCTTGGCGAACGGCTGACGAAGCTGGAATACCTGAATCTTTCCGACAACCGATTGGAGCTCCTACCCTTTTTTGAGGAACTCGGAAGCAGTGGCGATCACAATCACAGCAACCGTCGCCAACCCATTGGGGGCGAAACCTCTCTCGTGAAGCTGTCCCTTGGTGGGAACAGGTACACTAGCAAGATGCGCAATGGGCAGCAGGAAGAGGAGGAGGAAGATAGCTCCAATGGCAGGTCCAGCATGATTCTTCTTCCCAGCGAATTTCGATACCTCACCAACCTCCGGGAATTGTCACTCGCAAACATGGGCCTGGGCGGGAAGCTTCCTTCCTGGCTCTTCCACGAACTTCCCGAGCTGCGCGTTCTGGATCTCTCACAGAACCTCCTGACCGGGACCATTGGCGAAAACATGAACCAAAACAACCTGTTCGGTGAAAGCAAGAATCAAGACCAGCACCAAAAACCATCTTGGGCGCTTTCCACGACGTCACTGCCCTTGCAGCACCTGAACGCGCTTGTCCTGCACGACAATCCCCTCACGGGGACCCTGCCCGAATTTATCGGATTGCTTCCAGCACTGAGTAAGTCTTCTGCCGCATGGTTGGTGGCACCTGTTGGTGTCGTCTAGTTCCGTTTATACTTCTACCATTCCATCGTTGATTTCATCTCTCACTTTTTTTCGTGACTATATTGCCCCGCAGCAACCCTTTCTCTGCACCACACTAATATCACGGTGGGAACAGATGCAGCAAATTTCATCTGCTGGCGAGACGAGTCGGTCCTGGAATCGCTGACGACAGACTGCGGAGACATCACCTGCCCCTGCTGCATCGAAAACTGCTGCGACGGCGTGGACTGCTACAAGGACGTCGATTGGGACAACATCGGTGGCGGTGGTTGGAACACCAACGAACAAGGGGACCACAATTAGGAGCATCAATTGCTGCAAGAACTCATGACGCCCATTTATACTAGACCCGATGGATCGAGGCAGAACGCACACAAGCGCTGTTCGCTTTCATCTACTTCACTGATATTGTATTAGAACAATATCATGGAGGCCTATCCATCCTCCGCTTGTTTGATAAAAAACTAAAAGAATGCATTATTATTTTAGAACGAAAGAGTCATGTCATAGGTATCGCTGTGTTTTGTAACAATTGTTTGGATCCGTTTCGACCCGTTCCAAACACCATTTATCGCGGCATTCGCTTGTCATATTTTTTTCAACAAGAGAGTCACTGCCTGCCCAATTCATCGCCTCGCTCGTGCGTACACTGTTGAACCGTAGCCACCGCTGCCCGTCGTGCCGTAATTTCAAAATTTGCTTGGCTCTTTTTATTTCGGTGTGGTTGCGTTTTTGCTGGATTGCCTTCGATTCCCCTGCATCCGTGTTCTTACAGCTTGGGTTCCGGCCCGTCGAAAAAGTGGAAGTTGCAGAAATCGAGAATGTTTTGTTTTTGGAGGGCACCCTCGATGCGCCCCTTCAGAACGGCCTGGGCCCCGGCTTCCTTCGCCGAGGCTTCCTCGTCGCTTCCCTCCGGGGGGGTGTACTTGTCCAGGAAGAGGAGCGTCGGGAGACCGTTGATGGCCAGGCGGGCCGCCATCTCCTCGTTTTCGTCCGTGTCGAGCTTCACGAAGCGGACCTTTCCGTCCAGTTCCTTCGCGGCCTGCTCAAATTCCGGGCTCATCAGCAAGCACGGGCCGCACCTTTCGCGGTCGAAGCGGTGGTTGTGTGTTGGTTTCCGACCGACCGACAACAAAAAATTACGGTCACGATCGGATACAAATTGAAAGGAGGAACGACAAAATCGATGAGTTTTGAAGAGATTCTTGCTCGCTCTTTGATGGATTCCGATCACCAAAAAAGCACTACCAGACCCACTGCAAACTGCACCATCTTTGTCGCGCTAAAGAATCTTCAACGGGTTTAGAATATTTCCATTCTCCTTGTCGAAATCGGATTTCCGATGTTTCAAACACCCGTAGTTTCGAAGAATCGAGAGGGGTGTTGCACTGCGCTGCAATCCGATACGTACCACGTAGCGTAAGCATCAATGACCAACGGAGTATCCCAATCCTGAAGCATCACTTCGAGTTCTTCTCCGGAAACCTTCGGTGCCGATTTGACTTCTTCCCCTTCCGCCATGAAGAGTGCCGACCTCCGTGCGACGGCAGGTCCTGCCACGAAGGCGGTCGCAGAGAACATCCAGAGACAGGCAATTGATGCCAGAAGACAAAATCTTGTTGACGATATCATTTTGGCTTGATTTTTTTTAATAACAGTACCAGTATTGGTGCAATGGTGGGGTCCGGCGAGGATAGTATTGTACTGCTGTTTCCTTCTCCTAATAGTCGAAGATTCGTATCGGAGGACTGACTTTCTGTTCTGCTAAAAGTATCGCCACTGGTAGTAGTATTTACAGTACAGTAGAGTACACTATGCAACGTACTAATAAAACATCCCGATGGACGCAATTTGTTTTCATTCCGGAATGCACATTTTCTGCGTGTTTCCCATCGAGTGGTCCCATCGATGACGTTCGTGTGACGCATTTTGCGCGCGTGCCGCAGCACTTACCACACTTCCAGGTAAAAATCGTGATTGAAAATAGACCGAAGAGAAATACTAGCTAGAAGTGAAGTTTGAGAATCTAAGGATACCGTATTACTGCCGAAAGCAACTCTCGCTTGTTTTATCATCATCGACAACGAGATCAAGATTAAAGATACCTTAATTTAGAGTCTCATCTTTCTACTTGGAATTCTCGTCCGAGATAGTAGACAGACAAAGTCGTGGATAAGAAAGACAAAAAATGCGATTGACTGAAAGAAGTTCGAATGACCACCAGTATCGCCGTTCGCTCTACAGTACAATGATGACATCTTTATTCACTGTCGTAGTTCTTTTTGCGCTGCTGCTACCTGCATCTAATGGATTTGTTGTCTTGAAACCATCAAGACTATCGGTCAGCACGAGAACAAGTTCGATCCATCAGAAAGCATACGCACCAGCAATATTCCTATCGGCTTCAGCGTCATCCGCCGCCGAAACACAGGAAACAGATCTTTCGCCAGAGGTACTGGCTGAGGTATTGGAGGTGGCCACCAGAGCCGCCAAAGAGGCGGGTGACATCATCTTGGGAAACGCCGGGGGCGCCGAGGTGACCGAGCGCAAGGCAAATAGTCGTGATCTTCTCACACTCATCGACCCCCTCTGCGAATCGACAATACGAGCGACCGTCCTGGAGCAATTCCCCGATCACGACTTTTTGGGCGAGGAAGACGTCGATCCAGGAGCCGAAGCCAGCGCGGCAGCCATCGACAACAAACTCAGCGGGGACGACAAGAGTGACTGGCTCTGGATCGTCGATCCCATCGATGGCACCACGAATTTCGTTCACGGAATGCCCCTCAACATGCCGTCCATTGCGGCTGCCTACAAGGGAGAAGTAGTGGTCGGTGTCATTTACGATCCCCACCGAGACGAGATTTTTTGCGCGACAAGAGGAGGAGGTTCTACCCTAAACGGAGAGCCCATCAAGGTGGGAGAACAGAACGAGCTTGGTGACGCCGTCGTGGCCATGGGAAGCCCCCCGGGCGAGGAAAGCATGAAAATGAGCTTGCTGGGTGCCCAGACCCTGATGCCAAAAGTGAGGACCATTCGGATGCTCGGATCGGCGGCCATCATGCTTGCCTGGATCGCCAACGGCCGACTGACAGCCTACTGGGAGTACGACCTCAGCTCCTGGGACGTAGCGGCGGGTGCTCTGATCATTCAAGAGGCGGGCGGAAATTTTACGGACCTCGCGGGGGATCCCTTCTCGTTGCGGACCCGAAAAACCGTGGCCAGCAACGGGAAGATTCACGAGGAATTGCTCGCCGCCCTGAACGAGGCTGGGGTTGTCTGATGGCCTTTTCTCAGAGCAGAAAACGAGAGCGAGCGGGCGGATAAAATCTGGTTGCGCACACCGCATACCGATTCCATAACAATTGCCTGTTATTGAAGCTCGCGGTCACAATGTGGTAGCTCATTGATGAATCGATTCGACAGGGTCGCCAGTTGTAGAAACGACATGTATGCATGACCGTGCACAAGAAATCGGTGACCCATCAATGATACATTCGGTTGTACTTGATGCTCCAGTGCAAAATAGCTAGCCAATCAACCAAATCAATATTGTGAACAATACATAATCCACTGTGTTTGATATCTACGATAATGTTAATTGTTTCTAGTGCAACAGAAGTCGAATATTTGCAGTGCAACACGAAGCGCTATTATTTTTTCGTCAGGTTCACTAAAGATAGAAGCAGGTCAGATTGATTCTGCTATAAAGACTACCGCATCGATATACAGAGTGTGGTAAATAAATCTGAAAAATGCATTATTATAATATTAGTATTGTTCTAGCACTAAATGATTCTATCGCTGTGATATTTTATGTTTCTATCAATGCAATGATACAGGAAAACTGTCATGATTGAGGTTAAATCACGATGTGCAAACAGAGCATACAACGCGCACGTAGAGTCGTCATACCACACGTATTGGTCCGATGACACGCAGGTATGAAAATAGGAAAGTAAAAACTGATGAGGAGGTAACAAATATTCTTTCTTCTTCGAGATGGCAGTCTAGAGAGACTTACTGCATGCAAGCAAGCGGCGGTTAGCTATTGAGTCCGCTCCATCAAGAGTTTTTTTAACGCTTCGATTTCTTCTCTAGCCTTGGCAAGCTCGGCTTTGACGTCATCGTCGGAGGATTTATCTGTCCAGGTAGGAAGCGTGCTGTCTTCGCTGTCGGAGCAAGCGGGACTGCTGTTCTCGTCTGCTTGGATGGAGGTCACCGCACTGATGGAAGAACCCATGTTTTCGTGATACAAGTCGCTGTCGTCCTCGGCATACGTTGGGCAACAGCAGACAAAGTTAGGCGATGGCACACGGTACTCGTTGCCAGAATACTTCAGCTCCCCGTTGCTAAGGTTGAAGTTGAAGACCGCAATCGAGTCGGTATCTTGGTTTGCAACCAGTAAGTATTGGCCGGAATTGTCGAACTGGAAGTGCCGCGGAGTTTCACCCCGGGTGTGAAAACATCCGACGGTTTGGAGCTCACCCCGTTTGGACCCTTTCCTCTTGACGCGAAACACGGTGATTGACTGGTGTCCCCGATTCGATACAATCACGAATCTACCGGATTTGTGCACGCACATGCGACCGCAGGTGTTCATTGTTGTGGGAAACGCTTGCGGGATGGTTTTAATCGATTGGACCAACCTAAGGGTCGATTGGCCTCGAAACCGATTCATGTCCTCCCCATTTTTGGATGCTGCGTAGATTTCGTTCAAAAGCTGACGGTTGATTTCAAACACCGCAACCTTAATACAAAAAAGAAAGAAAGAGCAAACAAGAATGCATAAGTGGATGTCGAGACAGAATGAAACAAAACTCGAAAGCCACACTGTTTCTACAGTGACTTACGGTGGAGCTCAATTCATTGACAACATATCCAATGTTGTACTCCGGATGAAAATCAAAGTAGCGCGGTCCGTCCGGTTTGCCGGTACAAAGCCCGGACGGCATCACGTTGAGCTCGATGGCAATTTTGCCATCCGCGGCGTCGTAATAGAATTCCCGGATGAGATCCTTTCCCAAATCGGGAACGTACGCCACCCGACCCACGAACGGGTCCAGGACCAGTGCGTGCGAGTGAGGATCGGCCTGGCGGGCCGAGATAGTGGATGCGTCGTTACAGGAGTGGTTCACGCCGCCATCCTTTTTGGCGCAGGCTACCATGCTCTTTCCCATGTTTGGATCGTAAACGTTCTTGACACCACCGACCAGAGCTCCGGTTTCGGGGTCCATCGGGATCGTCACCAGGGTCGAGTTCCAATAATTCACTGCCAGTAGATTGCGGTGGGCTTTGTCGATAGTCAAGTAGCAGGTGGAGGTCCCCCCGGCATCCACGGCTTCTCCGAATTGTTCCAATGAGCCATCCTGCTTCAGTTTGTAAGCAATAATTTGACCGTTCTCGTGACAGTCTTCGGTACAAGTGTAGACCACATTCAAACGGGGGTGGTGCCGAGAAAAGGCCGGGTTTTTAATGACGTTCGCGTCTCCCTGGATGTTTAAGAGGACAAGCGAACCGTCGGATGGGGAAAAGCGATATACGTGCACAGAGTGCTTGGCTTCGCTACCACGAGGGCCATGGGCTGTAACGAAGAGGATGGAAAACAAACAAGAAATTTGAGAAATGCACGGCTCTTTTCTATCGATTTGGTGTCACATTAGCTATTTGGATGATAGTCTTACCTAGTTTCTCAAAGTCGGAATAGGAAGTGACAAAAAATAGTTGATGATCGTCCTCCTCGCTCTCTACTTGTTGGAATGTTGTTTCGGTGGACAATTCAGTATTGGCTCTTCGGTAGATTTTCATAGTATCTTGATGTTTTCTTGTTGCTATATGAGTGTTTGTGTCTATGACGATGGATGCTGGCCTTTATTGTTTTGTCTTCTGGTTAATATTGATTCGTTTTTCTCTTCGCTGTATTCTTTGATGATTTTCTATCGTTTATTCTATTTTATGAGGAGAGAAACACTCTTGACGACTCCTGCACTTTGTTTGATGGTGAGTGTGTTGTCAAATACTTGTGATGATGTCAATACTGCTGTCAGTGACGATGAACCTTTCTCGTCTGTGATTTTATTTGTGTCAGAGCTGCTCGTGATGTTGATGTTCGCCTGCGGCGAAAGGAGCCGAAACGGATAGGAATCGTAAGTTTCCGTGAAGTTTTCGAAAGTACCAAAAACCTTCAATCAATCTTCCGCCATGTAGAAAGGGTGTCAAGGAAGGAAGGAAGTTCTCTCGAACTGGGTTTGAAGAATTTTGAAGAGACGTTAACAGATGCAGAAATTGAAGTATTGGTCGCTGATTGGTCAAACGGGAAAACTCTAAACCAATCAAAATTGACAGATTTCATGACAACCTTTTGATCGCGCTCGGAGGCGCATAAAATCTTCTCCGTTTTCGGCATATGTAAAACTATAATGGTCCGTCGACTCCGAACCGTGTCAGCTGTCAATCAATCCCAAAACATTGTGGCACCTTGGCCTTTTGAAGGCACATTACAGCAGCGATCAACAAAAGAAACATGATACGACGCTGTAGTCGTACGAGTCGTATGAATACCATCATTTTCTTCAATATTTTTGAAAAAATGGATCACCGCTGTGTTTCCGGACTCGAATCACAGTTTCAACAAGATAGCTGTAGAACATTCGTGAGAGAGGGGGCGTGGAACCAAATCTACTGTGGCAGTAGCCAGTAGTAGCTATGGAACATACTCGCATTGTTGTTGCAAACCGTCATGTAATGCATAGTACAGGTCAAAACCTCCCATGGCTTATTCTTCTTGCACCTCTATGAGTATCCTCTGACTGCATTCTCTTCTGCAGAGGTCGCAACAAGCTGCTGGTTGATCATGCAGATTCTCTGTCTTTCAGACTTGCATTGCGATCAAAAAGTATTTCCTTCTTGCGCTCTGAATCACGGTATGTTTTCGTGCATAGGATGTAGCTGAGTCGCTGTTTTGGCCATTGCAATGTTTCTGTGCAGTAAACATTAGGTAAGATGTTTAACTTTTTGTACTGAAGGCGAAGATTTTTTCTCATTCTTCTCCGTTCATCCTTCACCGAGAGAGTGATTGTGTTCGGAAACGACGTTTTGGTACCGAAGAAAGGGCGTTTCGTGGCAACCCAATCTCAACCAGGAAGGGTGCTGCCATGGCATCGAAAGGGGCATCGCGAAGATCTCGAAGGCGCGGTCCTGCCTTGCGCTGGTGGTGATACCTGCGCGTGTGCGATTGATGGATGCGATCGATGGCAATCCGGACGGATCATTTCGTTTCTATGTGGTCATGTTGGGCATTATCGCACTCAACAAACCAACGCTCGTGGTTGGGAAGAAAAGAAATTAAGAGCGTGGACAACACAACTCTATCTACGAAGAGGGTGTAGATATCCTGTCCTCGCCCGATCCTCACAGTCTTTTTCAGAACAGTAGATGTGAAAAAATGTGTCGGGGATGTTCTTTCTAAATCTCGGTGAAGTTAAAAACGTCGTACGGTACGTTCGTTGAGAACAGGTGTGGAACAGTATGTCTAGCAAAGCAACGACAACGACTTTTGTCTTCGAATACTACCGTACGGTATGGGCAGGAACGGTAGATGTTCATGATCGCAAGACCACAAATACTGTATGGGATTTCAAATGGGACCTCTCGTTTTCGAATACGTATCCTATCGTAGGATGTGCTTGACAATTCTATTCTAGTTCCTCGTAATCGTTTTGCAATTTGCCTTGAGTTTTTTCGAAGAATTTTCGTAAATTTCGGTTCGACTCGTCCGACTTGATCGATCCGTTCCGGTTCAAAATTGTTCGAAGAGAAAATCCAAAATCGGATTCAGTCAGTCACATCGGATTCAGTCGTTCCCAAAGAAAGTTTGACGCGATGACATCTTTTTTGTCAAGGAGGGCAGAATGTGGAGATCAAGACTCACCCTATCGCGGCACGATTGATCCGTAGTACTACTAGACTAGTACTCGTACTCGGCTACGTTCTGAACGTACGATAGGAGACGGCGCCTGTCGTCGTCGTTGCTACTCTGAACAGCAACGAGTACTTGTACTCCCTACTGCGGTTCACAGAGAGAAAGATCCAAGAATTCCGATACTCCTCCTACCGTACCCTTTCAAGACGGCAACAGCGAAGAATCGAATCGAGAAAGGAAAACCGTCGTCATACAGTATCGATCGGCATCAAAAGACTGATTCTCGCATAAACTGCACACCATCGACAATCCATTTGGTAAGCCATCAAAGCCATCAGGGATTAAAATAAAGCAATTACAACACACAACATCAAAAATTACTACAGAAAAAAGTATCACAGCCAACGCAAGGAGCAATAGCCACATAGAAAGAACCATGCCGTCGGAATTCGAAAACAAGGTCATCGTCATCACCGGTGCCGGAGGGAACTTCGGCCGGGCGGGATGCCTCTACTTTGCGAAGCGGGGCGCCAAGATCGTCGCAATGGACAACAACCCTTCGACGCTGGAGGAAACCGCCTCGCTGATCAGGGCAGAGGCGTCGCTCGCGGAAGCAGAGATACTCCTAGCCACCTGCGACGTGACGGACGCTTCGAGCGTTCAAGCCGCCGTGGATTCTGCCGTCGAGCGGTTCTCGAGGATCGACCTCCTCTGGAACAACGCCGGCTACCAGGGACAGATCAAGCCGACGCTGGACTACGATCCGAAGGACTTTGCACTGGTCATGAACATCAACGTGACGGGGATGTTCATCGTCTTGCAGGCGGTCGCGAAGCAGATCGCCAGGCAGAGGGACGCCGAGGAGGGAACGCGGTCCTACTCGATCGTCAACACCGCCAGCGTTGCGGGGCTGAGGGGTACCCCCGCCATGGTGGCCTACGCCTCGAGCAAGGCGGCCGTCCTGGCCATGACCGTGTCCACCTCCAAGGACCTGGCGCCGATCGGCGTCCGGGTGAACGCGGTCAGCCCCGCCCTGATCGGACCCGGCTTTATGTGGACGCGGCAGAACGAGCTGCACGCCGGGTCCGGGTCGCCCTATTTTGCCACGGATCCCGATACGGTCGCCAGGAACAAGGTCAACGGTGTTCCCATGAAACGGCTGGGAACGATAGAGGAAGTCCTCCAGTCGGTTGCCTTCTTGCTGAGCGACCAATCGAGTTACACCACCGGAACCAACCTGGTGGTCGATGGCGGGATGAGTTCCGGCCTGAAATGCTGAGCAAAAATTACACTCTTTTTGAAAATATGATTAAAATATTACGTTGTAATACAAAACTTGGTGTCGTAGGGCAATTTACTTTATTGGCTCGTATATCCAATAAGCTGTTCTCAAAAATAACTTTAGTACCCTGCAATATCGCAGCATCGATGCTCCCCATTGGATTCTCTAGAAACGTATTGCTGCATTTAAATACAGGTCGAACAAAAAGGACGAGGACGAAGAATCGAAAATTCTGGTCATCGCTTTGTTAACAAGATACATTCTGCTGATTAGGGTCCGGTTGACGTGTAGTACCCAATTGCAACAAATGATTGACCAACCGTCAACTCTTGTTGAAGTAGTTTATTCTCCGAATGTCTCTTGCACGGAAATGCGTTTGTGTGTATTGCATGAAATCCAGAGTCAACTTCCAAAATTAATCGGCTCGGTGTTTTTAAACAAAAATGAAGGTGGTTGCTGGCTCGATGAGAAGACCTTCGTTGCCTATTTCTTAGTCTGTGAGACAAAAATTTATTGAACTCTGCCGTCCAAATCGTTGCTCTTGGGGCCGTGGTCTCGCTCGTTCTTTCCTTTCGCTCTTGACTTTTTCTTTCCCTTTCCAAAGCGGCCAAGGATTTTCTTGAACAAAGACGCATTTCCGTCCGCAGCGGCGGCCGCGTCGATTTCTTCCTTCCACTGGTCGGCTTTTACCATCCACGGGTGGTCGAGCAGCTCGCACGCGGTGGGTCGATTGGATTCGTCCTTCACCAGCAGGCTACGGATGAAATGCTTGGCTTCCTCCGAAACCGCGTCGAAATCGGGACTCGGGAATTTCAGTTGCTCTCCGCAGTGCTGGATCTTGTCGAAGAGTTCCTGGTCGTTTCGACCCGTAAACGGAGCCCTTGCGCTCAGCAGGGCGTAGGCGAGGACGCCGACGGACCAGAGATCTACCGCGTGCGTGTAAGAATGGTTCAGAACTTCTGGTGCCACGTAGAGTTTGGTCCCGACAAAGGAAGTAAGCTTCTTGAGCGAGCAGAATCGGTGGTGTGTGTTGTACTTGCGGGAGAGACCAAAGTCAATAACACGAATCTCCGTTAGACTCTGCTTGTTTTTGGCATTGGGTTTCAACTTGAAGAGAAGGTTTTCGAGCTGGGGTCATTGGAATTGGAAGGAAAGCAAGCGAAAGGCATAGAAGAAAGAACGGTTGTGAGGCTACAGACAACAGAGAATAACGCAAATTTTCGAAAAGAGACCACGAAGACAATGAGTAATGCTTACCTTGAGATCCCGATGTACAATGTCATGATCGTGGAGATAGGCAACCGCATCGACTACCTGGCGTACAATGACAGCAGCCACCTCCTCGGAAGGGCAGTTCGGGACGGCTTCCTGCTGCCCGTTTTTCTTGTTGGTGCTTGTCGGTTTCACCACGTAATCGTAGAGTTCTCCACCTTTACAAATGTCGACCACGATGTGCAGGAACTTGTCGTCCTCGTAGGTGTCATAGATCTTGATGATGCTAGGGTGATCCAACACCGTCAGAAGATTGACTTCGTTCCGCATGTGTTCGTATTCGGTTTTGTCAGTTCGTCTCACAGACTTGACAGCGTATCGGTTGCCAGTAGAACGCTCGATGCACTTCCGAACAATCGTTTTAGTTCCGCGTCCAATTTCGCGGGAATGATCCACGAAGTATTTGGTGTCGATTCGTTCTTCCGTGTTGGGAATGACAATGACATCATCGATTATTTTTGATCCAAGTGAGCTCTTCCTAGGACCACCGATCTTCCGACCCGAAGAATTGCTGCTACCGATAGATCTATTCATTTGGATCTGACTAGTAGAAGGACCTCTTCGGACAATGGTGTATCGATGGTGAGAGGAAGTACTATTCCCTATGGATCGGCCAGATCTACCGATGGAATGGCCAGATCTACCGATGGAATGACCAGATCTACCAATAGAATGCGTGGATCTGCCAACGGATTTATTCAAGGATTCGTTGTTGTTGTACTCTGAAAGATTTGTGCATGACGAAATACTGCAAAGCTCAAAAGTGCTACCGAAACTTTGGTTGTCATCCCAGTCGGGATCTTGGCCCTTGATATCAATAGCTTCATTGTGTTTTTGCTCTTCATCCGTACAGGGTGGAGTTTCGATCGAAATAGTAGCATTGGATTTGATATCTGGAATTTCAGCACCGGACAAAAGTCGAATCACTTCGTCTTGATCATCCTCTTCTACGGCAATGATAGGCATTATATCAGACCACGGTAGTTGGTTCTAGGTAACGTTTCTTCTTTGGGCTCGATTACAGAATAGTGGTGACGGTCGTCACAAGAAAATTCAGATCTTTTCATCACTCCAAATACCCATCACGATGAGACGAATCATTTTGATACTGACCGGTAGGGCACCAAACAGATTGGGTGTTGCAGTTTCGTTTTCGTACGTCGAATTCTAGAGATTCTTGCAACGGATGACGCCAGGTGTTTCTTGCAGCTCTAACGCTCATTCTTTGTTTCGGAAGTACGAAATTGCGTGCTTAGCTCTGGGCATAATTATTGACACTTTGTTTCGTTGTGAACGATACAAAATCACAATTTTGAACTGTGGCAACATCGCTGTTTCTAATTTTAGGTTCGCTTACTACGAGTTTCGTAACAATTGAAACCGGACTCCGCCAGAGAGCAATAAGTAATAATTTCAAGTTCTAAACTTCGATTTATCTCTATAGTACCGGTAAAGAATCAAAAATGAAGTTGAAGAATGACACAATTGTTCTTTCCCCTTAATTACTTTCAGTCCTGTCGTAAGGGAGGCTTCAGACATCGAATACGTGCCCAAGATATTAACGGAACTATCAAGGCGGTGCTCAGAAATTTAGGGAAGAACAAGTTTCGCAAAGTTGCTCTTTTCTTCGTTTGCCCAAGATATTAATGGAACTATCAAGGCCGTGCTCAGAAATTAAGGGAAGAACAAGTTTCGCAAAGTTGCTCTTTTCTTCGTTACTAGAGCAACTAGAGTACGTACGAGGTACGAACCCAAATATGTGGAACGAATCTGGATTCGGTTATGAGTACACAATGGCCGGTTTTTATTCAACCCCAGCTTGCTTTGCTTGCTTGTTAATGCTAACAAAGGACCAATCAGAAATAGAGTCTATTAGTCAGAATTGGTTTTCTTTCTTCATTCCATAGAACTGCACTGTTGTTGTTTTTGAAGAGATACTTTTCCAGCAACTTGTTGATTACTCTGTGCATTTAAAATGCAAGAAAAAACTATCCTCATTTAATCAAGAACAGCCCACCAGCAACAACAACAACCTCCTCGTTATACTAGGTACCTAATTCATAATTTTCAAATCGAATTTTTTCAAACGCACGAAATTACACTTTGCTTATGAAAATTATCACCTTGAATTCCTACTGATTCCTACGTACATTCCTACCTGACAAGCTCCTTCCGGCTTCCGAATTCCGAAGACCCCACCATGGTGACATCCCCTTCGGAAGGGAAAATCCTCCTCCCTGGTGGCTCCATTCAAGCAGCAACCACATGTAACCAAGACTATTCCAAATACATCGATCCCCCAGCTGGTGGTGGTAGTTTGCCCCAGCTGGATCCATCCCCTGTTCCTCCGGAAGTACCGTATCTTTCGGTATTGAAGTTGTTTCCGGCATCTGTGCCGGACGGCAATAACACCAACCCCAGCCCCCAGTATTCAACCAAGACCTTTCCTTTGAAGAACAACGCCTGGAATATATGCTACATCATACTCAGTTTCAAGCTTAGCATCTCCATGCAGTTCCACCAGTATTTTACTGACCGGAAGAAGATTCCGGTCACGACGTTGTTGGTGTTGGTGTTGTTTCCGACATTCGTGCCGGAATGCAATAACACCAACCCCAGCCCCCAGTATTCAACCAAGACMTAGTGAAGAACAACGCCTGGAGTATATGCTACATCATACTCAGTTTCAAGCTTTCTCAGCATCTCCATGCAGTTCCAGTAATTTACGGACCGGAAGAACGCAAGATTCCGGTTACGACGTTGTTGTTGTTGTTATTGTTTCCKGCATCTGTGCCGGACGGCAATAACACCAACCCCAGCCCCCAGTATTCAACCAAGACCTTTCCTTTGCAGAACAACGCCTGGAGTATATGCTACATCATACTCAGTTTCAAGCTTTCAGCATCTCCATGCAGTTCCCAGTATTTTACGGACCGGAAGAAGATTCCGGTCACGACATTGTTGTTGTTGTTAGTGTTTCCGGCATCCGTGCCGGAGAGCAATAACACCAACCCCAGCCCCCAGTATTCAACCAACCCCAGTTACTCCAGCTGACTTCAGTTGCCTCAGCTGGATCCATCCCCAGTTCTCAAGGACCGGAAGCCCCAGTGCTTTCCGGTCACAATTGTTGTTGGTTCCGGCACTCCAGTCGGAATGCAATAACACCAACCCCAGTTACTCCAGCTGAGTGTCTCAGCTGGATCTCCATCACAACGTTGTTGTTGTTGTTTCCGGCATTCGTGCCGGAATGCAATAACTTCAACCCCAGTTACTCCAGCTGAGTGCTTYGCCTCAGCTGGATCCATCCCCAGTTCTMAAGGACTGGAAGCCCTTGTGTTTCCAGTCACGATTGCTGTTGTTTCCGACCTCCATGCCGGAAAGCAACAGCAACACCCCCACGATTGTTGCTGTTCCTCCTGTCTTTTGTTAGGGACAGGAAGACCAACACCCCCAGTATTTGACCTCCTGACCAGGGGTATCAGGGTTATTGGAATTATTATCAGTTTCTTCTTCCAGAAGATACTCACACAGCTGCTTCTTTGGGT